GAAGTGTCCTGGGGGGGCAGTGTCCTAGCGGGGGCTTAAAACCCATGGGGACCGCGGGGCAGGGACCCTGGCCACCGAGTGGGCAGTGGACACGCCTCCCTAGGACAGCAACGGCAGGTAGGGTTTTGGGACGTTGCCAGAGTGCCCTGCGCCAGGCGTGGTGACCACTGCGTGTAGGAACCAAGGTGACAGGAGACCTGAGTGTGTCAGGTGTGGCCTGCAGGTCCCACCTGCAGTTGGGATTTGAGGTGGACTGTCACCTCCAGGGAGGAGGAAGGGACAGTGGAGCTGTGTCCTGTGGCCCCCTATGGCCCATTGCTCCTGGTCCCATTGCTCCTGGTCCCGTGGCCCCTGGTCCCATTGCTCCTGGTCCCATGGCCCCTGGTCCCATTGCTCCTGGTCCCATTGCTCCTGGTCCAGTGGCTCCCGTGGCTCCTGTGTCCCGTGGCTCCTGTGTCCCATGGCTCCCGGTCCCAGATCAGTAGCAGCTGCTGTGCTTCCCTTTCAGGGAGCGGTGTCCTGGCCATCCTGCTGGTCGCGCTCTTTCTCGACCCCATCAGAGAGGCTCCGGACAAAAGTGAAGGCGAGACGCCATCTGTTCTGTCCACTTTGCTGTCGACATTCAAGCTTTTCAGAGACAAACGCCTGCGTCTCCTCATGCTGCTGCCCATGTACAGCGGGTTCGAGCAGGCCTTCCTGGCAGGCGACTACACGAGGGTAGGGCCTGGGGGGTGGTGAGGGAGGGTAGGGCCTGGTGGGTGGTGACGGAGGGTAGGGCCTGGGGGGTGGTGATGGAGGGTAGGGCCTGGCGGGTGGTGACTGAGGGTAGGGCCTGGTGGGTGGTTATGGAGGGGAGAGCCTGGGGGGTGGGGTAGGGCCTGGCGGGTGGTGACTGAGGGTAGGGCCTGGTGGGTGGTTATGGAGGGTAGAGCCTGGGGGGTGGTGAGGAAGGGTAGAGCCTGGGAGGTGGTGAGGAAGGGTAGGGCCTGGTGGGTGGTGACTGAGTGTAGAGCCTGGGGGGTGGCTGCATGAGGGAAGGCGGTAGGCAGGTATATAACTTGCTAAGTGACCCTCCCCCGATAGGTAGCACTACTTTTAGAGCAGTTTTAGGTGGAACGCACAGCAATTCCCCACACGCCCTGCCCCCACACCGCAGCCCCACCAGCGGGTGCGCGTGCTGCCACCTGTGACTCTGCACCCACAGGTCCTAGTCACCCATGTCCCGAGTTGACGCGCGAGTCCCTCTTGGCGCTGGGCATCCCGTGGGTGTGGACGAATGTGCAATGACATGGACGCCATGGTGGTGTCACACAGAACGTTTCTCTGCCCCAAGCCCTCTGTGCTCCCTGGTCACCCCTCCCTCTACCTTTCCCACCTGCCTCCTGGGCCAAGCAGGCAATGACCAGCCACCAGGAACGGCTCCCATGCACCCGGCACATCTGTCCACACCATTAGGACAGGCCTCTCACAGGCCTGGCTCCGGGCTAGCACTGGATGGGCTGGACAGAGGCCCCCGCCAGGTCGGAGGGACAGGCCGCAGCCAGGCCAGCAGGACAGGCGGCAGGACAGGCGGCAGTAGATCGCCCACACCGGCAGAGCGTGACGGTCCGTGTCCCCGCAGTCCTACACCACCTGTGCCCTCGGCATCCACTTCGTGGGCTACGTGATGATCTGCTTCTCGGCCACCAACGCGCTGTGCTCCGAGCTCTACGGGAAGCTGGCGCAGTACACGGGCCGGGCCCCGCTCTACGCCCTCGGTAGGTGGACGCGCCCAGCTCCCCCAGGAGCACCCCCCGCCCCCGGGAACCTGGCTCGGGGGCGGCACAGCGGTGTGAGCAGGGCCTGCGCAGGGCCCCGGAGGCGGTGTGACGGGGCAGCGGCGGGGGCGGCGGGGGTCACGCTGCCCGTGAAGGTGCCGTGACCCGTCCTCGGCCGTGGCTGAGGCGGGAGTAGGAGGGGGTCCTGAGGGCTGTGACCTGGGTCCACCTGCTGCACGAAGGCTGCGTGTAAAGCGCCGGACTCCACGCCAAGCACACGCCACCTGCTCCCTCTGGGGAAGGAAGGAAGGACAGAGAACGCGGGGATGAGAAATCGGGGCCTCACACAGTTACCTGGGCGGGGCCTCGGGGGTCTGTCAGCAGAGGGGACTGGGGCCGAGGAATGTGCGTCTCCCTCTCTTTTCCATTCTCCATCCCCTGTGGGGTGACCCCGCCCACTTGGCAGATGAGCAAACTGAGGAACAGAAAGGGGTGGTGACTGCCCCAGGCCACACAGCCTCAGGGGCCCCTGTGTCGGCAGCTTCCGGAGGCCCCGAGCTGCTCCGTGGCTACATTCCGAGGACACAGCGTCTGCAGAAACCCGGCCCATTGGGGCAAAGTCAGGGGGATGGCCCGGGCGGTGGTGCTGGCCTCTCCTGCCATCCCCGCCCCAGCTCCCTTCCCCGAACAAAGAAGCCCTCCTCTCTCACTTCTGAACCCCCATAATGTGGGGCTCCTCCGCCCAGGCGAGACAGGGTTTCCCTCTGTGACCCCCCCCCCCCCCCCCCCCTCACACACACACACACAGGGCGAGGCGAGGCCAGAGCGGGCAGAGCTGAGATCAGACCCTGTCAACATCAAATCCACCTGCAGGAGGCGACCTGGAGCATTTTTGTTTTTCTTCAAAATATATTTATTGATGTCAGAGAGGAAGGGAGAGGGAGAGACAGAAACATTAATGATGAGAGAGAATCATGGACCAGCTGCCTCCTGCACACCCCTCACTGGGGATCGAGCCCACAACCCGGGCCTGTGCCCGGACCAGGAATCGGACCGTGACCTCCTGGTTCATAGGTCCACGCTCAGCCCCTGAGCCCCGCCCATCGGCCGGGCCAGTCTGGAGCATCTTCAGGAAACACTATTCACACCACGAAGCGATGACCAGGAAAAGATCCCTCACTGTGAGCTCACGGACACGCTCACCTGTGGGCGTGGCCTCACCCGTGCACCCCTCCCCCGCCCGCAGGTGCAGCCACCCACCTGTCCTGCATCATCGCCCTCCTGCTGTGGAGGCCGCACCCCGACCAGCTGCCCGTGTTCTTCGTGTTCTCCGGCCTCTGGGGCGTGGCCGACGCCGTCTGGCAGACGCAGAACAACGGTGAGTGCGCAGCACGGAGCCCCCTGCTCAGGTCCCCAATCCGCTGCCGTGGGGACTGGTGGGGCAGGACCCGCCGCCCTGACTGCCGTGTCCGAGGTGCCTGTGCGTGGCTGGCTGGCCCGTCTTCCTCAGTGAGATGAGCCATAGAGGAGAGGGTTTGGGGGAGCCACCGGGAGAGAGGGACGCAGGGTGAGCGGGGCCACACCCGGAAGGCGGGGGGCGGCGGGCTGCCTGTGGCTGGGAATGAGGGATGAGGGTGGGCGCCATAGCCCTGAGCTCCCACAGGCCCATCTGTGGCCCATGAGGGGGTGTCGGGGCCCCCCTATAGCAGGCCGTCACCCGTGCCCTGGCATCTGCAGCCTGGCCCGCCGCCCGGGCCCTGGCAG